GTTCAAGGATGAACTTGGACAAGGAGCTTACGGAACTGTCTTTAAAGGGAAGCTATCTAATGAAATTCAGGTGGCTGTGAAACACTTCTACTGGGAATGGACAAAATTTCATCAATGAAATGGAGACCATGTGTCAAATTCACCATGTCAATGTGGCTCGCTTTGTTGGCTACTGTGCAGATGGATTCAAACGAACTTTGGTTTATGAATTTTTACCCAATGGTTCATTGCAGAAATTCATCGCTTCAGCTGATAGAAAGGATCTTTTCCTGGGTTGGGGAAAGCTTCAAGATATCGCTCTTGGCATAGCCAAAGGAATTGAGTATCTTCATGAAGATTGTGACAAACGGATCCTCCACTTTGATATCAAACCTCACAACATTCTGTTAGACGACAAATTCACTCCAAAAATATCTGATTGACCAAACTCTGTTCCAAGGATCAAAGCATTGTGTCAATGACAAAAGCTAGGGGCACTTTAGGCTATATTTCACCGGATATATTTTCTCGGAACTTTCGCAATGTGTCTCATAACTCAGATGTTTACAGCTATGGAATGTTACTACTTGAAATGGTTGGAGGATGGAAAATCACAGACGTCACAGAAGAAAATGACGAGTGTTACTACTTGAAATGGTTGGAGGAAGGAAAATCACAGATGTCACAGAAGAAAATGACGAGCAAGTTTACTACCCACAATGGATTTATAATCTTCTAGAGAACAATGAAGACATACAAATCCATATAGAAGGAGAGGAGGATACTAAAATTGCAAGGGAGCCATCCATTATTGGACTTTTGTGTATTCAGTGGCACCCAGCAAACCGTCCAACCATGAAAAATGTGGTCCAAATGTTGGAAGGGGATGATGAAAAGCTAATCATGCCTCCTAATCCTTTTGGTTCTTCACATGCAATTAGAACAAGAGCTGTTAATGGAGTACGGCGAGTGCAACCAGAGTTATCTGCCATTTCAGAAATAGAGTGAAGTTGAGATGGTTATAATGAGCTGTGTTAGATATAAATTTGCGTTTAGGTTGGTAGTCTTTCCTCCTTGTAGTATAAAGTTCCAAAATAGGATCATAGATAGTTATCCATGAAAAAAATTCTACAGTTATAAGTTCTACGTTTTCGCCAGTGGGTATAAACAACTTTAAAAAATTGTTGTCCAGTATTTCCTAAGTACATGGTTCACTAAAGCTCTATATCACAATCTAAATTCTTTTAAAGAATTATATTCGCGAACTGATTTTTTGAAGCTTGGACTATCTATGTTGAGGAACTCAAATTATGTCAAATATAACCGAAATTCTTCATGAAGTGTACAACTACAAAGAAAGCTTAATATTTTAAATCTCTACAGAAAGGATCGCTGATGTGGGAGACAATGGTAAGAGTAACACAATAAAAATAGAAATGAGATTCACTTTTACTTTTTTATGAATTTGTATTAGAATTTTACAGTAAAGAATTTTAAAAAAAATAGAGTCAATGGAACTTTGTGTGTGCAGTGGCCAATAAAAAATCCATTTTTTGAAGTCTACATGGACTTTATGAGAGTTTTATTGTAAAAAACTTTTAAGAAAGAATATAGTTGCTTTTCAACTTTTGAAAATTTGCCTAATTCAATTCTATATAATATATATAAAGCTTGACTAGGACAGATTTTGAGTGGCTGCCAGTCAGTCATTGATGATTAAAGATATTATTAGTAACAGTTGACTTGGAGTCAATGCCTTGTGCAATTCCACTCCCATCACCCATTAATAAATGCCGCGAGAATTTTCAACGAAGATGAAGAACATGTTTTGCTTCATTCTAGAACTATATATATAATTAAAGGAATATAAATTAAATAGAAACAAAAAATTGAATTTATATAATCCAATAAATATTAATTACAAGAAAACTATATTTGCAATGGTTTCTAGGAAAAATTGGTGAGAAGTAAAATATTTATCACCAAAGGTATTTGAAATTTATTTAAAGATATAGGTGCAACTCATTACAACTCTTTCAATAAGTACTAAAAGAAATACGTATTGCATATAGCTGAAGAAAAATTACAGTCATATGTTGAAGATGAGTTATGCCTACTGAATTCAAGCCATCTATATATCATATAAATCAAAATCCATGGCAAGCCGAGCCATTTACAAATCCTGAACGGCTCTGCTCTATTTTTACTGTTCTATGAACAGTAATGGCTCTATGAACAGTGCAGCTCGTATGTGGCTTTGTTTCTTTTTTTTTTGAGCGGGAAGTCCTCAGTTTTAAATTTTGAAATTCCTTTTTCATCATCCCTTATCTCTGTATCAGTCTTTCTTTCTTTTTTTAAGTTTGGTTTTCTTCTCATATGCTCCTCTCTGCTTCCAACGCTTTTTCTGTCACTCTTCATCTCCCTCTGCCTCATTGCGCTCGTCGTTGTCATAGGAAACCTCATCAATCTAACTTAGACGAAGGAAACAGAGTACTCTAATATTCTCTGTATTAGTACCCAGCTTGGAAATGAGGCGATTGACATGGCTTATTACCAAAAGGTTTGTATCTGATAACTCCCTTCTTCTGGTTTTTTTCCCCTCAGTTTTCGTTTTGATTTATTTTCCAGGCACATTCTCCCTTCTCCTTTGTTTCTATCACTCTCATCTATAAATTTTAATTTCTTCTATTCTTAACGCTCTAGATTTTTGTTGAAATCAACAACGGGGATGGGCAACAAGGAGCATGAACACAGGCAGGTGAAGGGGATTTAGAGGGAGAAATCTAGGTGCTGGAATCCAAAATCGAGCTAGTGGTAATAAACTTTCAGTCCAAAATACATAGCTGAGTGTTGAATTGGAGATGGAAGGTTTGCAGCCACAGGTATGCGGATCTCTAAGGTGGGGTAAGATATGCTAATCTTATATATTTAAAGCATTTGTTGCATCACAGACAATCTGCACACAAATTAGTTTTTTCTTCGCAATTGGAATTTATAGATTGCCACAATTTATGGGTTTTTCATTTTACAGTTTCATGTCCATTTTCATTGTTTGTATGGCTCTCTAAACACAAGCCAATCAAGTATGGTGGTTCAGAGTTTTAAAAATGAATTTATGTTAACGGAGTCATGTCTTTCTCCTTTTAAAAATGGTAAAATCCATATTTTATCTGATTACGTATTATGGTTGTTCATTATCTTATTTGTATATTTGTTTGTTTACTTTTTAGTTATTTAAGTGAGTCACAGCTTGAGATTGCTGTGAAAAGCATACCTTTATCCAGAATGCATGCAGCACCTAATTTATCCATTCCGAAGTTACAAAATAATTGTAATATGTGCTTGATTTATGTGGCTTTTTTTTTTGTAACGTTTTATTTTATAATTATTTCTGGGAAACTGATTGATACATTAAATCATCAGTTCCTTGAGTGATAGTGCTGTTTCTTTTATTGTTGCTATTCTACGCTTTGCAATTATGTTACACACTTTAATGAATTATCCATTTAATTGTCATATATGCAGTTGCTGGTGTTTGTTGTTTTTGTCCCTGTTATTGCTGCTGTGCTACGTTTTTTTTAATATGGCTTGGTTTTTGTAATTTATTTATGCTATGGATGGGTTTTAGGATGAAGGATAATAATAGAAGCGAAAAGAGTAATCTTGCATGTATGGTCATGTGTTCCAAGACTTTTTTCCCGAGAAGATCTGTTAATAGATATATGCTATGGATGGGTTTTAGGATGAAGGATAATAAGAATCATGGTATGACAATTTTCCCTTCATTTGTTAAATAAGTCACAAGTTCACGTTTGTAATTTCTATTAATAGCAAGATTCAATATTTATTGGATGGAGCGAGATATTTTATCATACTTATAGTTGTTATATGCAACTGGATCTGTGCTTAGCTCATTTTGGGGTGCGACAAGGGTGTTATTTGATGATGATCTTAAGTTGCTGTTGTACTTGCACACCACGACTGCTGCCGCATGTATGTAATGTACCTCCATAATATTTTTCTTATTTTGTTTTTCTGTGGCATTTGGATCCCCCTCTATTCAAATCATTAAGTAATGTTCTGCAAAGTTCATGGCAATGTAACTAGCGGCATATGCTTTAAAAGAGTTGCTCTAATCTCATTTTGATATGATGTCCCCACATTGAGTGATGTTTAATGGACGATAGCAGTCATTGATTGACATTCTTGTGGCCCGTGCATCGCACGGGGGATTTTGCTAGTTTTAATCAAAATCTTCTCAAATAAGTAACTTTTCAGCAAATTTTGCTTGCTTCTATTTAATTTCTCATTTTTATTAAAATGAAATATATATATTATACTTCTGAAATTTGTTTAGTCAGATTATACTATTCTACATGTTGTCGGCAAGAATTGATGTTTCGGTAGCGATTGATTGGATGGAACCATAAGAAGATGGAAATTAATTTTTTTTTTAAAAAGCCAAATTATATTGACTCCAGGTCAACCACAATTGATGTGCTTGAATTCATTATTGGCGACAAACCTTCAAAGTGATAAGAAAGATGGACCAAGCAGTTTCTAGGAAAGAGTGACAGTGATTATATATGGGAAACGCCACCATATTACCACCACAAAAAAAGGTATAATACTCTGCCATGACTATAAAATCTAATTTGTAGCATTGTAATACAAACTAGATTTTTTAATTAGGATGGGAAGTAATATTAAATTTGAAACTTAGATTTATCTTTCCTAACTCATTTTTTTTCCTGCAAATCTACTGGATTCCTCATATCATCATGCAAGTTGTATAAACTATGAATTAGAGTTCCGCCAAACAGCAAATTCTTTTTTAAAAATGCATAACTGCAGAGAAAACTTGTTAATTTAAATTTCCATATACTGAAGAAATATAGCTATGTCATAAAAGAGCATGTAAAAACGTGGCAACATAAAAATTTCATTATTTACTAGGATAACAACCTTCTTCCAACAATAACCTACATATAGTCCAGTAAATCAGAATACTTCAGAAAACATTGAAAATACTAACCATAATGCTAGTTTTACTTATTTGCAAGTAGTTTAATCGGAACACAAGTTGTCAGTAGTAGCAATATTTTCTCCTAAAATCTCTCACCAAGTTACATAAATTTGGGGAGGAAGAGCCTCTTGAAGCTCCATTTCTCCCTCAAGCATCTCTAACACATTCTTCATCGAAGGTCGATCATTAGGATACATCTGTATGCAATGTGAAGCTATTATGATCATCTTTTTCGCAATTCCTCTTTCCTCATCTGAGATATTGCTCCCCTCTATTGATTCCTCAAATTGATCATAAACCCATTTTGCAAAATAGGTCTGCCAGGAATGCTCAATGACATTCGAGTTCTTCTTTCTGCCGGCCATTTCCATTAGTAGCATCCCAAAACTATAAACATCGGCTTTGTGTGATATTCCTCCAATGTTCTTGTACAAGAATTCAGGAGCCATGTATCCAAATGTTCCTCTTGCATTTGTCAGAGACACAATACTATTATCTAATGGGTACAACTTAGCCAATCTGAAATCCGAAATCTTTGGATTAAAATTTTCATCAAGAAGGATATTGTGAGGTTTGATATCAAAGTGTAGAATTTGCATATCACATCCTCGATGTAAATACTCAATTCCTCGAGCAATCCCAAGAGAAATGTTAAACATTTTCTCGTAATTGATGGGCGTGTTGCTTTGTCTCTCCAAGAAGATGTACTTGTCAAGTGATCCATTAGGCATAAATTCATAAACAAGAGCTCGTTTACTTCTTTCGGTGCAGAATCCAATCAGCTGCACCACATTGACATGATGAATCCTGCCAATAGTGGCAACTTCGCTTATGAAATCTTGTGCATTATTGGCTTTGGACTTCGCCAGTAACTTGATGGCTACATCGCGATTGCTTCGAAGCTTACCTTTATACACATAGCCATAGCCTCCTTCACCTAACTTGTGTTTGAAGCCGTTGGTCATTTTCTTGATCTCTGAGTAAGAGTACTTGATGGGCATCAGGTTACTATTATTTCGGAGGAAGTCCTCGACATTGTCATCATAACATTGATGCCTTCTTCTCCATCGAAGAATCAAGAATATTAAAACAAAAGGTGTACCCAATACAAATTTAGCTGCAGACCAGTAAATCACTGTGCACAAGATTTCAAAAGTAATCAGCATTAAATCAATTCTTCCTATGAAATATAGACTTACATATATATGGTCATATGTATATGTTTAACACATGGAATATAACCAGGCTGAATGTTTGTGTGAAAAGCAGTTTTTCATAGTATGGCCTGTATATTTTCAGTTCTTACATGTATCATGATAGTTTGGTACTTGAAGCTATGCTCTAATCTTACATGAATTCCTCAATGAAGACAGTTCCAGTGAGTAGAGAATAGCCAAAATATCTAACGGATGGTTTTATTTATGCAACTGTTATTGGTTTTGGGATGAAAATAACACGTCTAATTAATAAATTTAATGAAGTGTGAGAAATGAAATTGTAGAAACACGAAAAAGGAAAAAAAAAAAAAAAACAAACAAACTTGCTTCACTCACCTATAAGGATCGCCCTCAAAATAGTAAAAACTGCGTTGTAAAAATTCAAAACAGAAGTTTCGATTAGATCATCATGAAAATAATTGGTTCCAATATTTTCTTTTGTTCTCAAGAATACCGTGATATATAACTAACTGCAAAAGTTCACCTGAAAAATCTGCAAGATTAAGTGGACGGTGACAAAGAACCATATTAGTGGCATTTTCAAACCTGCAGTTAGGTTGCCCTCCATCCCACACTCCACAACGATCAGCAATCCATTTGATGTGAATCTCCTTTACCTCTTCCCTCTGAACTTTTGGATATGAGCAATTCTCATTACATCTCATTGGCGCCTATGGCAAAACCTTCACCGACATATCTATTTTGCACGACTCTTCCACATCAGATACACTTGGATCCCCGGTCAGCACATAAGAATAACGAGTTTTTGGTGCTTCACTGGAACAAGGCGCCACAATTTCAGCATACGAAGGATAGTGAACTGGATTTTGGCAGCTGACAAACACTAATCTGCCCACATGATAATGGTATTTTTTGTTGCTTGGTTTCCTTTCTTTGGCTTTGAAACTGTGGTTGAAGAAGTTGCTGTATGTGAGAGAATGACGAGAGATCGAGTAGCAATTGTTGATGTCAAGTCCAGAGGTAATGGATTGGAGATTTGTGGAGTTAGTGGCATAAACGGCCTGCACCAAGCGCCTTCCATAGTTTACAGACAACACACTTCTGTTGTTCTCGCAGCTTACTGTGTAGCTGGGATCGTAGCAGTCGCCGTATTTATAATATGTATTTGTGGGGATATTGAACACATGGCCGCAGGATTCACTAAATGATGATTCCTTAAAGAAAACAATATTAGTATAACGATAGAATGTAAGTACAAAGGCGGCAAGGAAGATGATTATGAAGGTTTCTTTTAACATTATGAATGATCAGAGAAGGAAGAAACAAGCTACTTTCCAAGCGGACGCAATGGATCCACACAAGCTCAGACCAGATAGAGAAGATTTTTTTTTAATATTATTTATAAGACAGCTTATTTAATTTTTAACATGAATATATATAAAAAATTTTATGGTCTACATTTATTGTACTCCCTCCATTCCTTTTTATAAGAGACAATTAACCAAATTATGTTGTTCAAAATGTTAATTAAAATGAGTTGAAGAAAATAAATGAGTAAAAAAATGTAATTTTTTTTGCCAAAAATACCCTCATTTATGTAGAAGCGGTATAATGTGCAGGAAATGCAATGATATGAGTAATATGAGTAATTAAATGGAGGTAAAATGAAAATCAACTAACAAAATTTGAAATAACATCAAGTGTCTCTTATAAAAAAGAATATGATATACTTTATAATTGTCTCTTATAATAAGGAATAGAGGGAATAATATGGATAGTTATTTTTTCAAAAAATCTATATATATCAAATATGAGTAAAATTGGAAAATTGTTACTCCTCTGATCCTATTTATAAGTCACTTTTAACTTGTTTTACACGGATTAAGGAAAACCTTAAACTACATTAACTTTTATATAAAATTTAACAACTTTTTAAATTTATGCCTATTTAATATACATTATATCTCATATAAACAAAGTCAATGCGCAATAATAAATTAAAAATAAAATTGTACATATATATAAAAATTTTCTCTCACTGCCTTATAAATAAGACTAAACAATGTCTTCTTTCTATGTCCTATAAATAGGACCAGAGAATGATATTTTAAAGGAGAATTAATATAATTTAAGGTTTTTTTTAGTTTATGTAAAACATACTAGAAATATCTTATCAATAGGAAATTTATAAGTAGGTTGAATCCAAGTTTTGAAAATTTGTCCAATTTAATGCAGTATCCAAGTGGCCTGACCCGACTTATAGGCAACTTGTGAGCCATTCTGCGCCGTTGATAATTAAAGAAATCGATAACGGTTGACTCGTAGTCAATGCCTTAACACGGTCCTCCAGTCCACTCCCACCAGCACCACCCATTTATGACATGACGATTTTCAATTCATTCCAGCTCCATAAAATGTATAGATTAAATCGAAACAAATACCTAAATTGAATTAATTGGAGTTAAAAAATTATTAAATACTACTCCCTCCTGTATTTCCAAATTTTTGAATTGATCTGATCATTTTTATATAATCCTGTTTAGAGGTTTTCTAAACATTAAATACATTTTTATCAATTTATCACTAATTTATTAGATTATTTTTTTCATATATTTTCTTTCATCTTTTTTAACTAATTATCTCTCTCACTTGACCCCGTATAAATAAGGCATATTTAGAAGAAAAAATGTAACAGACTTCTTATACCACACAATTTGGTTAATTCCAGTCTTATTAAAAAACGAAGGTTAAACAAACTAAATTCGTAATTATTTCAATTCATGAACGCGTTTCTTAAATCTACATAAATGAAAAATGTTATATTTCTTTAATGATTGTAAGTCCCCTTAAAAATTTACACAACGGACTCGCAATGTATGGAAAATGTACATGAAAATGGGTAATAAGCTAACATATAAGCACCAAATAATAACTTGACATAAATAAATAAATAAAGTTAAAATTAGTTTTTTATTGTGAAATATAGAACTTATTCTCAATAAGAATTATAAGTTAAAAAAGTTCGAATAACTGTTGATGTTTTATAATTAGTTAGAATCTTGGGCGAAAACCATTAATACTTTTAACAGAAAACTTGTTATATTATGAAATATGTTGTAGTAATTATAATAATTTGTTATATTATGAAATATGTTGCAGTCATTATAATGAGGGAAAATGACTAAAAATAAAGTTGAAAATTACTAAATCACAAATCAGGTTTAGTAACAATTAATACTTTATTTGACATGGATAATACTGAATTTACAAATAACAATAACTTTTTTGTTGACATTTTTTATTTGACATTTAATAATTTTTAGTTTTTTGTTGTTGTTATTTTCCCTTATAATAAGCATCTGGCAAAAAAAGAAGTCACTATGATAAGGAACCGATAACATTGAACGAACTTTGAACATTCTGCCAAAAACAAAAATTGACACTACTACATAAAAGACTTTTTACGGCTATTAAAAAGGTGTTTTAATGACTGTTTTAGGAACAACGTCTATATTTATCGATAAAAGAATTAGAGGACTTCATGATGGTTACAAAACTGCAATATAAAATAACTTTTCACGGCAGTTGTTAGTTAAAAACCACCATGAAAAAGTCCTCTATAACTATACTTTTTGAAAGATTTTTTATGACATTTATTTTTATTAGTCGTTGTGAAAAATCTATTTCGAGAAACCCATAACCTTCCCAAGTTGAATCACTCAATCCATGAGAGAGGGAGAGAGCTAGCAAGATGAGGGAGAATATGTAGAAGGAATAGCATTTATTTTTCTTAATTTTGTAATCTTTGCCATTTTTCATAAATAACCTTACAGTTTTAATTAAAAAAAAACACAGTACTTACATCAAATTTTTTATATTTATTATGTTACGTCATTTAACCACATATGGTCATGTGTCCTATTTTTTAAAAATATATAAATATTTAAATTGTTAAATTTTTAATTTACTAGAAGCAATATCTAGAAGAGAAAATGACAAATAAAGACTCCCAATATGTAAAATTACGATTTAAGACCCTCAATTTACAAAATATCAAATAAAAACCCGATCCCATATTATAAATACAAAATTTTGGTGTAATGCTTAAAATGTTTCTCGATCAAATCACAACTTGGTGCGTGTTTAACAATGTTTTTAGTGGTGATATCTCTTCCCCAAGGCGAAACTTTTGCCGCTTCTACAAGTTTCTCTAAAAGCTCTTTGTATCGTGTTTTACATGTGGAAACAACAGCATGAACTTCCTTGGCCAACTCGCTAGTTCCAATTTCAGCTTGATTCAATTCAGCTACCAGAACTAAAACAGCAACTACCACTGGAAGTGGGGCTTACGTCCGGTACTCAAAAACCACTTCATTGCACTGTAACAAAAATATCCCCTGCTTGCGAATTCTGTCTACTTTGCCTGTGTCAATTCTAGCAAAAGATGGTGAAATCTTAAGGACCCTTTCCAATGAATGCACGATATCAAACTCTGGAAAATCTGATTTTTTTTCAAATCCATAAAATCAATAACTCGTTTAATCATCCTACCCAATTCATAAACATCACATCCAGCTGCCCATGCCACTTCAGCCACAGACATTGGGCGATTATCCTTTCGCATCACTATATACACACATGTGCCAATTAAAACCTGAAACCAATCACCTTGCCCAAATTCGCCCTCTGTGATGGTAGAAATCATCGCTTTAATATCACTCATTTTTGAAGATATACCTAATCTAGAAGTTAATTCATCTATCAAACTTTGGGCTTGAAAGAATTTCCTTTGTAACTATATATAGTACCTGCACCAGAAGTTCCAACACGGATGAATGTTCCTTGTGGGCCATTGATGCCACCAATATGGGCTTCAAAATGATCATATTCTTGAACAACACCACACAAGGAGCATATCAAATCCCCGGACACATCATCCCTAACAAGAGAAGTTTTCCTGCAGTTGTTGCAGGAACGTGTGCCTGCCATAGTGTACCACAAATTTCAAAAGGGGAATTGTTTTCAAACGTGTTGCTTCCAAGGAACTGTTCGGTGAGTGAAGTCAAGTTCTAACTGGAGAGAGGATACTGAACAAGCAGGGAAGCTACACTTTTTTACGCAAGACTCCACGTAATTCACTGGGAGACTAGCATGGAGATAGCAGCACTGCATTTAGTCAAACAAATAATAGGTTAATAGAGTAATATGATTCAAAAACATTACATTCATGTTAATCTTCTTATGAAATTTGCTTAGCTCATCCATAACTAGATGAACAAACTTATTTACAGAATTATAGAACAGCATTCCATAAGATCTAAAATCCTATGTGTAAAATCATAAATCTTAGTTATGCATATAGAACGAGAACCCTAAACATACTGCACACATACTAGAAAAAAATAAATTTTTTCTAAGTAGAAGATTTACTTAAAAATTCTGCGTTTATCAGGTAATTTATCATATCCTCCCACCAACCCCACCCCAAAAAATAAGAAATCTATTATTAGTGTTGAATTTTTAAGGGGTCATTGCTTCCGTCTCACTGATGGTTGTTAGTTTGCTCAATTGCTGGTGGATTAAATTGCCATGATCTCTAATTTAACTTCAAGTTCCACTTGGAATCATGGGGGGAACTTTCATGATTGCCTTGATTCACATAGAATTGTGTCATTTCTTAAATATCCAGTTGCTTATGTTCCTACCTATTCTTTGGTATTGAAGCTTCTGCAATTTAGGAGGCGTTGTTCTCCTTAATTTTAGAGTTGGATCTCTGTTTAAACAAGTATAATCCAGCTTTATCTTATCTGTAGTTTCAGCAACATAGTTTTCCCTTCCTTTTTTTAGTCTGCTCAGCTTTATGCTTGGTTAAAAGACGTTTTCATTGCTCAAGCAACATCAATTGAAAATTCATTTGAAAACAACAATGGTAATTAAGTTGGTAACTGACAGTGAAGCTAGCTAGTTAGGCATGCCTAAGGTAATGCATATTTCCATTCATTTTGAAAGTCTTAAGTCTCAACACCTCATTGCAATTGCTTCTTCCAAGATGCTCGAAGAGCCTCAAACGATAACATGAAAGAGGTGGTCAAGTCATGATAAAGATGCCCAATTCATGTACAGACTTATGACATGATAAATGTTTACTCTATTTGGAATCAAGTCTAATTTGGCTTTAGGACTTCTTTACCGCGGTCATTGTCTTGCAATCTCCCAAACCTAACCTGAATTTAGTTGAAAGGGCCTGGGAGAAATTGTTTAACGTTGTGTTTTACAAGGCTTTAAAAACTCAACCACATACAAACACTTAGTATTATTGTGCTGCCAGCATAGGAACAGAAAATTTTATAGGACATGTAGTCATTATGACAAATGCCAAGTCTAGAAGGGTAGTTTTGAGTGCTATCAGAAATTGAAAGCAAAATCCATCGATGTGACTAAAAAGGAAAAAAAGAAATCATTAAAGATTAGGCTTAAATATATAATTAGCCTTTATTTCACCATTACAAGAGTTCTATTTAATGAATTCACCTCCTCCTGCTGTCAACATGCATGAAACAGAAAGCTTTCCAAAGTCACTTTTAACACAGTAAGAAATAACAATGCTTCAACAATCGAGTATTATTACAAGACTTTTCAATGTGATTCTGAATTTCAAAAAAGGTTCTTCAATTACCATATACCAGAAATAGTCCACTCTACTACCTAATAGTCCCGTCCAGCAGCTGAATATTTACTGTTGAAAATTGAAATAAGCGTATACAGAGTGCGTTTAACTAATCTTCTCACGAACACACAAGCACTAGGATTAGTCAGTACCCAATTTAAAACACAAACACATTCAATATTCAACAAAAATCATAAAGTGAATTTAAAATCGGAGTCTGGAGAGAAGACGAACCTAAAGCCAAAGCCCGAAAGCACACAAACTCTCGAAGAACGAAGTAGATGGCTAACTGGGAGAGGCGAGGACGCGGGGCACCGAACTCAGGTTGAGATCTGATACGTTCGACGGCGAGAATCTGGAGCCATAAGAAGGACGCAAACAACGAGAGGCAGAGATGCAGATACAGCCGCCAACGACGTCGACCGTCCAGAGGCAGAGGCGCAGAGATCGGTAGAACGTGGAAGTCGAACTTCGCAGGAGCGAAATTACAGAACAGGGTATTGAGTCTCATACAGAATGGGAATGAAGATCAAAGAAGGGGGATGAAGAAGAAGTCGAGGATAGAAGATGAAGATTGAAATAGGGGAATATATTCATTGAAGAAGGAAGAGAGGCGACACCCTTATCTGTGAAAATCGATTCTTGTCTTGAGATGAGCCGTTGTCCCCCTTCGCCGATCCCAGGGCCATTCTTCATCACTTCATAATTTAATTTGTCAATTACTACGCATGGTCTTTAATATAAAATCTTGTTTGATTTTTATTTTGATCCTAATTATAAGACTCCAATCCATTTTATATCTCATATTTATACATTTTTTTCCAAGATAGTCCCTCTAATAATTGTAGTCCTAGCCAATATAGTTAATTAGTAAAGATATTTTAGGAAAGACAACACTTATTTATTACAAATAACTAACTTAACTTCTTTTTTTAATCTCCTCAAATTAGTCAACTGGGTCTTATAATTAGGACCGGAGGTAGTACTTCAAAGATTATAGTGTTTTTTTTTGAAAATTTGATGTTTTATTTTTATATACTCACCCGGTCCTAAATATAAAACCCCTTTTATAGTACAAAAAGGGTTTTATATTTAGAATCGGAGGAGTACATTATTACATATTTATGTAAAATTATTTTTATCTAATTATTATATTAGTAGTCTGACTAAATAGTCTAACCTATCTAATCATTTGAATCATGACCCGCTGATCTTTTCGATTCGATGTTCCGCTCGGTTTTTAAAACATTACTTGTAACGGAATATGATATGTGTGTGAGATGGAAAATTTGTTAAGAATTTCATGATATTTTTCAAAATCTTTCAAAACAAAACACAAATTATCTTTTCAAAAATATCCCTATTTAGTTGGGGGCATACTTTAAAAAGACAATTTTTTAGATTTTGGTCTTTTCTTTTTTTTGCAATTCCTTATTATAGTTACAAATTTAATTTTAAAATCATGAAATTAAAAGTTACATTTCAAATTAGTTTGATTTCAAATTTTTAATCAGTAGACATATACGTGTATGTTTCATTATTTTCTTACTTTTGCATAATATGCTGTAGACCTGCGGTAAAAACTTAAGATTAAACCAAAGTTCATATTTTAGAGGAAAATGAATGATTTTAATAAAATTCAAGGGTGTAAATGTGATTTGGACGGACTCTTGAAGCATTTGGAGTGGCTGATAGAAGAAAATATTTCTGCAAGTATTTATACTTTTTTTTTAATTTAATGCATATGCTTTTTTTTTTCTCTTTTTTATTAAATTATTTAATTTTGCTTTGTTGGAACCGTTAAGTTTTATAACTTTGTTATGTACTAACAATACCAATAAAGCAAGATTGAATGATTTAATAAAACAAGGAAAAAAAAACATAGGTATCAAATTGAATATTGAAGGAAAACAGAAGCATCTGCAAAATGGTTTTCTCAAGGTTGATAAATACAACAAAAGACATAGAATTCATGAATAATAAGCATGCCGATTCACCCAAAAAAAAAAAAAAAGAAGGCATGTCGGGAAACTTATGCTATATTTTAAAATAAAGTAGTAATAACAACTATTGAATGTTTAATGTACATTTCAACTGTTCAAAAAAATGTGCACTAACTTCTTTCTATCATGGTGGTGCAGGAGACCAACTCTGTACAAAACTCCATATTCTAAAACTCCCATAATCTATAAGGAAAAGCTCCTTACTAATGTTTAGGTATTGCCACTATCAAGTTTTTCCAACCCTCAGGTGTGGATTATGGGGAAGCAGAGAAGTGATTGAGTCATATATAGCACTCATCTAAACGGCATTTATGCCGCTGAAATGCAGGACTCACTCATGCTCCACAGCTACACTGCATACCTGCCCAGTTGAAGTAACCCAAATGAGCATTGCATCCCAAACAGAAAAGTTTTTCCTCTACATGGCCCTCATTAACTGCCAAGCGAAGCAATATTCATATAGGGTTAGTGTGAAGAATGAAGAGAAAAATCTTACGGCAACTGGATAATATATTGATTGAAATTTACAAAAACCTGTTTGCATCCACTTCATGGGTTCAGCAAATACTGAGGTACAATCCACTGGTTGCTTATCTGTGTTCTCATTTCTCTTCTTCCATTTGAAACTTGCTTCTCCTTTTCCCCGCTCATGGGAAACAATATTCTCATCTGAAGCTACAATTCTTCGGCATTTCTTGCACCGGTAAATAAGGTGAGCCTTTTCTGTGGTCTTCGACTCAGAGCTAACAGTTCCAGCCATTTGGATTCACTGATCAACGATGTAAATGTTTAATATTCTGCAAGTTTAAAAGCATATGAGAAGACAACATGGAACCTAATATAATTGTCCAATAGCCATTCATCCAGGCTTGATTAAATAAATTAAGTTGAAAAAACATAAGAGGTGAAAGAACACACAGAAAATTAACATGTAGTGTCACACAAAAATTTCTCAGAATATAAAGATGGCGGTTCCTTCTTGGCTCATGCCCATTAATAGTAGGGAAACTTAATATGGAGCTGTAAGAAATGAACGCAATTAACAAAAAGTCCTGCAACAAATAAGTAGCATGTAATGACAAGATTTGGTGTAGCAACACGTCTACGCTACTCACTTGTTATTAAAACAAGACCATGCCCATTAATAATATAAAGTTCTTTGTCCACTTGACGTTAAACTTCTTGAGTAACCCGTCGTTCATTATGTTTTAATTTTACGCCCATGGCAAAAATACTTTTACTCTAATGGACAAGGATGTAATCAGTATTCAGGATGATGCCAGTAACAAGAATTAGCACACACTAACATTGATCAGCCAATCTTTGTCACTTTAGACACAAGTAGCAGCAGATGTGAACTAGGCGTGACAATATTGAAAGTTGCAGAGACAATGAATTTTCATGTCAGCAACCAAAGCAAATTATTAAAAACCACACACACACACACACGTGCTCCTCTACCAGAATACTTAAATCTGTCGAGTTAGCAACGTGGGGGTCACAAAACCAACGTAGTTTTAGAAGCATCACATCTTCATTATTTGAGATCATATGCTTTGTTAGAGAACCATCCGATCCCACTAGACGGGCTGCTAACATATTGAATATCTTTTGATGTCTCTAACTTACTCGTATTTTCTTTTGTTGTAATTAACTGATGATGCCCACATTTTTGGTTCGCATGCCCTTTGTAATTTCATTCTTTGATGGAATTTTCCCTTTTCTCCGAAAAAAGAAGCTTTCTCCATCAGACTGAAACAGGGAGTACTAGTTACCTAAAATCAAGTACACCTAAAACATGGTGCCATGTAGGCGAGACTGATGTCTCCAAGGCAGAATGTTTATTCAGACTGTCACTGTAGTTTCGCCTTTCATGAACAAACCTGTCATCTCATCTTCTAGCCCCTTCTCTCTCACAAGCCACGAGTCCGAACACACACAAAGACATATGAGCATTCTCATTCTTCATATTACACACATATAAGCTATGAATTGAACAAATCTAATGGTAGTTATACTCACCAATTTTACCCCCTCCCCCCCAAAAAAAAAGGAGACGAATTCTTGAAGGAGTTCTCACAAATATTGACACGTAATCAATATCACTGCATAACCAATGACAACCCTATTGTAACTTATCTTACGCTAGAAAGCATACATGACCCTTGAGAGAAAATTCCAGACAAGCCAACAAGAAGTTCATTCCAGACGACGCAACAAGAAGTTAATATGAACGCATTATGCATAGGGTAAATCAGGACTCGCAAAATTGTATTGTTCAACTATGTTTGTTGCCCTAACATTGTTTCCTATATAAATTATAGTCACAAAACCAGAATAACACATAAATATTATTGCCTCCTTCGATTTGTTTTTTTCCGTGAATGCTTGGTTTCATGTTATTAGCAATCCCCAGCTTAATTTGATAGCAGAACGCAGAAGTTTCTAAACAAAGACAAGACGATTGAACAGAAGAGGAAGAGAATGACCAGCGGCAGCATAATTCCCAGTTGTGAACACCGTCGATGCAACGCTAATACCTGGTATCCTATATGTTTTAGTCTAGAACGTGAAGCCTCTCGGAATTCATATAGTGCTTGTATAGTTTGACAAGCTTGCACAAGGTCCAGACAAGATGTTTGTATGGTTTGGCAAGCTTGGATGAGGTCCGGACAAGTGTTGACATGTGTGGACAAGGTGCTTGTGTAGTTTGACAAGCTTGGATAAGATTTGGGCAAGGCTGTCGGGGGTACACCGGATACCACGCAACGTGCGGCGCTCTGCCAGTCGCCGCACCCTACCTCCGACTGAGCCGTTTCCAGGTAGATAGGCTGTTAAACAGAAAAGAGAACTCTTCCTCAGGCCCCCTGACGTCTCTAGATTGCCTAATGTTGCCGTCAACCACAACATCCCGGTTCAAGAATTTTAATATGATTCCCTTTCAAAGTATGCATGCTGCACGCTATCAAAAACTCTTGCAAATTGGTTTCTTGAAGATCAATAAAGGAAAAACCAATTACTATGGTACACAAGCTTGAATACAAGGTTAGTTCTATGTTCTACATTGTATATTACTTTGGTTTCTTGAGTTTTGTGGTTGAAAATTATTGATTCCCTTAAGGGGAGGTACTGGTCGAAATTTGTTATACAGCAAATGGGATAAGGCTTAGCTGGGATAGCCCAACCGTCCAACAATCTCAGCAACCTCAAGAGAAAATTGCTGAGAGTGTACAACCTACTATAGAACCTGACACATTGCAGTAATGGATAGTGAAGTTTGGGAAACACCACCCTTCAACTTTTGAGGAAACCTTTGACATGCACGTGGTGGAAGACTGGATAACTCGGCTAGAGAAGATCTTGAATATCCTGAAATGCTCATATAAAAGGAAGGCTCATAAAAGAAATTTTGTAAAACATTTAGAAATACTATCATAATTATATAAGCATCCTAAATCACATGAAATTAACCATGATAGAAAAGAGTTAAAGCAAACCATATATATGTCTATCATAGTTAAAAGAGTTTTTCTAAATTAATTGCGTGCAATTTGAAATTCACAATGAATATGGCTTTGAGCATTATGAAACCTAGAATGTTCTTTTCAGCCATAAGTCCATAACACAACATTACTGAGCCATTCACATTTTCATAATCTGAATTAGTTTATACTTACACATGCATGATTTAATCTTTAAGACAAGCATATGACTACTGGCAAAATCAACCAGGTAACAATCCTTTAAAGACGTCATGACGTTGACGGCAAACCGCTGAGGCACCTTAATTATTTTCTGCCAAAGCCTTGATACATTCTTATTGTAACACATTTACTTTTTACCAAATAACCATCCAATTAGAGGTAAATGGAATCACATTTGAGTACGATGGCATCAGTGATATGAGTAAGATCTGGTTGATACTTCTTTAGTTGGGAAACATGGAAGACATCATATATCTAATTCAGATTAGGGGGTAGGGCCAATTCATAAGCTACTGGTTTAACTTTTAACAAAATTTGGAATGGTTTTCGGCGTTAACTATTTCGCCTTAGGGGTTTGACCCATTCCAGTGGTTTGAATTTCCAATAAAATACCTCTTAGGGGTATAACTGAACTTTATATTTTATTAAAGCTACTTTGCTAGCCTTTTGGGGATGGAACTAATTCTCTAAACTTCTTTAACCTCTTAATATTTTCTATTTTTTATGCACATTTTCAGGCGTCCTTTGTGAAGAAAAATAACGAAAATACTCCTGAGGCAACATAAATAAAATTTATAAGATTATGGGCCGGTAAAAATATACTATTTGAAGTAATTATTTGATATAGTAAAAGATCTCAAAAATTTACACAAAATAAGATTAAATAGTTAAAAAGTTGTACTTTACAGCTCTTTATGCAAGGCCCATGAGCTTCTTAGATTAGGCTGACCACAAATGACAGGTACTTTTGGGCATGTTTGGATATTTGGTCTGGGGCTACTGAAAGAAGAAAGCCCAATTAGTCAGCAGGCATAAAGAGCCTCATTTCGCTATATTGTTTTTTTTTTTCCAAAATGTCGCACTGGTTTTCCTTTGCCGTTGGAGTCTTCGTTCTCGCATACGGAGGAAAGAGCATTGCTTCCATGACATGGCGGGAAAAAGGATCTGGAACAATGCTCTCGTTACCAGGTCATTTCAAGTGATTGCCAACGTAGAAGAACCTGATTAAACCCTATCTACGAATTGAACAGCTGTACGTTGCCGAGTCTGCCATCACCGCCCTGGAACAGGTGAGGCTGTTTTGCTGATTACTTTGTTCATTTCCATAGAGCTGATTTTGGTTTTTACCGTGAAAGGATTTGGGAACACTTCATAATGTCCGCAAATTAAGAAATGTGTGTAATGCATTGATCAATAACCTGGTGTGGGGGGCGGGATTCCTGGGGGGAGGAAATTCCTTTAATTTTGAATCGTACACTGCAAAACTAATGCGTGAAAATTTTCAAACCATAAGAAAATGATCTAGAGTTAGGTTGACAATATTTCTTAGATTAATACATATATATTTATATATAATGGCATAGATATATATCTAAAAGGCTAATTTTGGCTAATTTTGAAAACCGCATGTTCCATGAGGCAAGTTTTTTTTCCCCTTTTGGATACCCGCTGGCAAGGGGGAAAAAAAAAGATAAAGGTTTTTTGGATACAAAATGGCTCATGAGATGATGCACTACTTCATGTACATGGCAGGTCGATCGGTCAATGTAAATTCATGATAGATCATGCTTGTTTCTGACAAATATTATTTCATTTTGATAGTACATCTTACGCTAAAATCGAACTGTCTCTCGTACTATGCTGTGAAGATCTCTGAGGCGTCAACATGTCCTTGAAGCATCTCCACTACTCTGCCCATTGAGGGGCGATCACTTGGGCTCAGCTGTATGCAAGTAAAAGCAACTGTAATCATTTTCTGGGCTATCTTCTTCTCTTCTTCTGTGGCATTGCTTTTAAATATTGTTTCTTCAAACTGATCATGAACCCATTTCGCAAAGTAAGTCTGCCATGAATTCTGCACAATATCATAGTTCTTTCTTCTTCCTGCCATTTCCATCAGCATCATCCCAAAACTATAAACATCAGCCTTGTGTGAGATGCCTCCAATGTTTTTGTACAACAATTCAGGAGCCATGTATCCCATTGTTCCTCTAGCTGCAGTTAGAGACACAATACTTTTATCTGTTGGATATAGTTTTGCCAATCCAAAGTCTGAAATCTTGGGAGAAAAATTCTCATCAAGAAGAATATTGTGAGGTTTGATATC